AAGAAAATTGTTGAAGCAATATTGCAATGTTTAAACCAATCAAGCAATGTTTAAACAAGAAGGTGTTTGCATCAAAACACATTAGTGTTCTCACATACTTTCCCCCTGTTTTGATGAAAAGAACCTTCAGTTTCTCTTGCGCTTTGAAGATCCGGCAACCTCACTGATGCCCTTCATGTTCCCACACAGTTCTTTGATACGCCTTAAATTTTCACGTCTCTCTTCTGATTGAGTATCATTTGAGAAGTGGTCAACAACTGTACCTATAAATTCTGTTCCATCTAGTCCTGAGCTGGATAGAAGCTGTGCTGAGTCTTCCGGATTTCTTTGCTGTGCTTCGAGGATTAGATTTGTCAAGTTCAGATGAGAAGGAATATAAGATACTTCTCCTTCTTTGATTGCAATAGGGAGCTGTGGTATTGGAGATGGACTGTGTTGTTGGAGAATTACTTCCATCTTGCGGTTTCCATAGTTTGCACCAATAAGTCTGAACAGCTTGCATGCTTCCTTTTGATTGTCAATGATCACCTTCAAGTAGTCTTTGGTCACTACCTGATTTGCAGAAGCTACTGCTAGGGCTGATTTGATGTCCATTTGGAGAAGGGACATCTGTTTTTGGAGACTAACTGTGACACTCGCTATTTGCTCTTTGACTTTGTTGATCTCTTTGAGTTGAAGTTGACTGTCAGAGGCATATATTTCCATCGTGTTGCTCACAGTTTCACTCAATAGAGAAATATTCTCCAGAGTCTTCTGCACTGATTTGCTTATTTCTTTGAGATCTGCGCTGTGTTTTCCTTCAGATTTCTCTATTAGCTGGGTGTGCCTGACTTCCATTTGCTCTATCTCTTGCCTAAAGGAGGCATGTTGAGATGCTAGGGCTGATTCAATCAGCCCTTGGACCTTCTTTGTCCAGATTTCTGGTATCTCATCCGGAAGAGTAGGGGTGGAAGAGCTATGGAAATGAAAGTTGGTTACCTGATGAGATGATGGTGTTCTTTGGAAGAGTTGCATAGGAAGAGATTCAGCATCTTCTTGCACATCTTCTTCATCAGTAACCTTCAGTGTTCTTTCAGACTCTCCTTCTGCTTCAAGTGCAATATTTGATATATCCCTAGAGAGGGAGTCTCTTTCTTCAGCTGTATTCTCTTCTTCAAAAATGGCTACTGGAGTTTCAGAGACCTCTAGTTCTGCCATTTGAGTTTCCTTTGCAGCTTCTCCAGAATTCCTTTGTACTTCAACAGCTTGCTCCATTGTTTCTGGAAGAGCTGACTGTTCCGGAATTTCTGCTGACTTTTCCGGGATCTCAATTTCAGTAGGATTGGAGATCTCACAAGGAGTGGTGAGAATCTCCAAAACTTGAGATTGGATTAGTGGCTGAAATTCTTCTTCATCTGCTGTTTCCTGGTTCTCTTCTTGTGGGGGAGAGGCTGCCTTCTCTTCTACAACTTCAGTTAGAACCATTTCAGAAACATGTGAGGTTTCTGGAAGTGTTTGGAAATCTTCAGTTGCTGCTTCCAAAACACCTTGTGCTTCAGAAGTGAAAACCACTTGATCTTCTGTGTCTTTTGAGAAGATTGACTTGAAGACTGCAAGATCTTCATCATCTGCTTCAAAGTCAGAAACTGGTGTGTTGGCCAGGTATTCCAGATGCAAGTCTTCAGGATACCTTTGCCATACCCAGTAGTCATCCAAAATTTGTTCACAGTTGTGGTTGACTGATATTCCTAAGCACTTTTTGATGATCTTCTCATTCTTCAGTTGTTGGTCCCAATTCAACAGTTGCTCTGCTGAATTTCCAACTTTCCAGGCTTTCCAACCATAGTAGAGCTGCCAGAATTGGTTATCTGCATCATCTATTTGAGGTTGAGGTGATGAGGTTGGAAGGCGTTGGACTTGAGGAATTTCTTCTTCAAGTTGTTGAGGGCTCCGGTTTTGAGCAGATGTTTCCTCAGCAGGTTCATTCTCGTTCAATTCATCCGGATTGACATTTCCAGATGTTCATGGAGAGTTGATCTTCCTCTTCTTTTTCCTTTGAAGTTCTCCTTGGTCAGAGGATTCTTCTTCTTCTTCAAGATTTATTGGAGCAAGATTCTGTGGTGCTTCAGCACTAGGAGAGGGAGACACCACATGCTTTCTCTTGGTAGTCTTAGCGAAATTGATGAGTGGAACATTGTCTGATGAGCTTTCTTCTGCAGTGGCACTAGCACTAGCTCTAGCTCTGTTTTCTCCTTTGGAGGATAAGTAGTACAGCCAGTATCTGGCTTCATACTTTTTCCCTTTAACTGCAGCTCCCATAGATTCCAAAATATGTCCAATATACAGACCTTGACAGAGATACTTCTGATTGTGCTTTCCTAGATGTTTTGAAATGGATTTGAAAATGTGTGCAGCCCAGTTTACCTTAGTTTTGGTAATGAGAGAGTTGATGATGAAGGCTCTCTCCTGGGTGATGTCATCGGCATGACCTTCACTTCCACACTCGAGGCAAGCGATGACCAGTTCCAAAACCAACTTGTAATCGTTGTTTAGATCTGCTTTCTTCGCTGGGCCAGAAGGAACTTGCCCAGAGATTCCAATGATGTTCCAGTCCAGATTTTTGACTGGAAATTTCCCAACTTCAACTCCAGAATTGGGAAGGCGAAGCTTTTCTCCCAATTTCTTTTGCGAAAGCTTCACTTTTGTACCTCCAACAGTGGATTGGATGATTGGAAACGTCTTCTGTGGGTTTTTCTTTGAATGAGCAGTTTTGACCTCTCCATTTCTGTAGAATTCAAGAACTTCTTCCTCGAATTTGAGGCGAATCTCCATTTGAAGAAATTCGGAGAGTTCTTGAGCGGCTATCATTTGCAGATAGCTTTGAAAGAATGTCGGGGATGAGCACTTGGCTTCTAACTTCTGGAAGTGGACATTTGCACCGACAACCTTCATTTTCTCAGAAATTTGAGAAGATCTGATGAAATTAGGGTTCTTGAGAATTTGATCAGAAGATTCTCGTGAAGAAGGCGATGAAAGATTTGAGTGTGCTGAGTGGGCAGTTGAGGTCTGATTATAGTGACGATTGGGTTTAATGTGGGCAATTTATGCGGCTAGTGGCGATTGGGTTTTTTAACTGTTCCCAAGGCCACGTCCCCACCCATCATTTTGACAGACGTGGAAAATGAACTGCCATGTGCACCACATTCAGTCTAATTGAATTAGACCAATTTTGTGAAGCAAATCGGAAAACTTGGCTTCACTTAGTGGTTTGGTGAAAATATCCGCCAGTTGTTCTTCAGTTGAGGTATACTCAATTTTGATATCTTTCTTTTCCACATGATCTCTGATGAAGTGATGCTTGACATCAATGTGCTTAGTGCGAGAATGATGCACTGGGTTTTGAGAGATGGCTATGGCACTTTGATTGTCACAAAAGATTGTTACTTCCTTTGTCTTGACTCCATAGTCCAGTAGTTGTTGCTTTAGCCACAAAACTTGAGCACAACAACTACCAGCTGCAATGTACTCTGCTTCTNCACTAACTCAAATGAATTGCTCTTAGCATACCACAAACCCATGTTCTGAGTTCCTTTGAGGTATCTAAGAATCCTTTTAGCTGCTATCAGATGACTTTCCTTTGGCTTTGACTGGAATCTGGCACAAACACCTACTGCATATGAGATATCCGGACGGCTTGCAGTAAGGTAAAGTAGAGATCCGACAATCCCTCTGTAGAGAGTTTGATCTACATCCTTTCCATCTACATGCATATCAAGCTTGGTGGATGTATTCATGGGGACAGAAACGGATGATTTCTGATCAACTTTAAACTTCTTGATAAGATCCCTTGTATACTTGGCTTGATTGATGAGAGTGCCTTCACTTCTCTGTTTGATTTGAAGGCCAAGGAAGTAGTTGAGTTCCCCCATCATGCTCATCTCAAATTTTCCTTGCATGAGGATTGAGAACTTGGTGCATAGATCTTCCTTCGTTGAGCCAAATATGACGTCGTCCACATAGATCTGAACTAATAGGAGATCTTCTCCATCTTGTAGTTTGAACAATGTCTTGTCAATTACTCCTTTGGCAAATCCATTTTCTATAAGAAATTGAGATAATGTGTCATACCAAGCTCTTGGTGCTTGTTTGAGTCCATACATCGCCTTTTTGAGTCTATACACTTGATCTCCCTTAGTGTGTAACTCAAATCCTGGAGGTTGTTCTACATACACTTCTTCCTCTAGGTTTCCGTTGAGAAATGCGCTTTTGACGTCCATTTGATAGACTTTGAAGTCCTTATGAGCAGCAAAGGCTAGAAACAGCCTTATAGCTTCAAGTCTAGCAACTGGAGCGAAGGTTTCATCAAAATCTATACCTTCTTCTTGACAATATCCTTTTGCAACTAACCGGGTCTTGTTTCTGACAACAACGCCGTTTTCATCCATCTTGTTCCGGAAGACCCACTTTGTCCCAATGACATGTTGATGAGTAGGTCTGGGAACAAGTTTCCAGACATCATTTCTAGAAAACTGGTTGAGTAATTCTTGCATTGCATTGATCCAATCAGAATCAGCTAGAGCTTCTTCAATATTCTTTGGTTCTACTTGTGAGATGAAACAAGCAAGCATAGCTTCTAGATTCTGTTGGGCACTCCTTGTGCGAACACCAGATTGAATATCTCCGATGATCTGTTGAGGAGGATGATTCTTTAACCAACGAAGATTGTGTTGATTGGGATTGACTGGTTGATTTAGTTCAGCTTCTGGTTGAAGAACAGAAGTTGTTGGTGTTTCCGGATGGATTGGCACTGGGTCGCCATTTCCGGAATTATCGCCGTTTGAGAGATCCGGAATATTGGAAGGCTGGCCAAAATTTCCGGAGGGCTCAGCACTGTCTGAGTCCGGATTTCTCTGTGAAGTCTTCAGAGGCAGACTTCTGAATGGAATGAACTCCGTGGGCTTCATTCTATCTCCTTTATTGACTTCTTCATCCTTGTCTGATAGATCCAGAACCTCATGGTCTTGCTTTGACGGCTTGTCAACCACATGTTTTTCATCAAAAATAACATGTATTGACTCTTCCGTGATCATGGTTCTTTTGTTGAAGACTCTAAATGCCTTGCTCATCATAGAGTATCCAAGGAAGATGGCTTCATCTGATTTTTCATCAAAAGTGTTCAGATGATTTTTCCCGTTGTTTAACACAAAGCACTTGCTCCCAAAAATATGGAAATATGATATATTAGGCTTTCTCCCGTTCCACAGTTCATAGGGAGTTTTGTTGTGCCTTTTATAAATCATACTCCTATTTTGAGTATAGCAGGCTGTGTTAACAGCTTCAGCCCAGAACCTCTTTGGTAAGGAAGCTTCTGCTAGCATAGTTCTCACTGCTTCCTTCAGGGTTCTGTTCCTTCTTTCAGCTACACCATTCTATTGAGGTGTCCTTGCTGCGGATGTCTGATGAAGAATTCCGTTTTCTTCACAGTAGTGAATGATGATTTCATTTAGGAATTCTGTGCCTTTGTCAGATCTGATCTTCTGAATGGTCTGACTTGCTTGGTTTTGAATCAGCTTCATGCAGTTGGTGAGTTTCCCTTGAGTCTCCTTCTTGCTGTTGAGGTAGATTGTCCACGTGTATCTTGAGTAATCATCAACTACCACCAGGACATATTTCTTTCCACTTAGACTTATTGGTGTAACAGGGCCAAATAAGTCCATGTGAATAAGACTTAATATCCTTGTAGTTGAGGGTGCCGATTTTGCCTTGAAGGTGGACTTGACTTGCTTTCCTTTTTGGCAAGCATCACAAATACTTTCCTTTCTGAATGCAGCTTTGGGAAGACCTTCTACTAACTCTTCTTTGGACAGCTTGTTGAGGGTTTTGAAGTTGAGATGACTCAACCTCTTATGCCAAAGCCATAGAAGGTTAGTGTCACCTTTGCTGATTAGACATGCTTCCTTGACATCGCTCCATA